CCAGTGAAAGAACAATGGAAGAACATGCAGGGCATTGCAGGCAATCACAACGAGTAGACGAAAAAACAATGAACAGAATCCATGAGCGGCGACTGCGGAGGCGATCAAGAAATCAACAATTTGAAAGTTGCATAAAGCCAAGACAAATTCAAACTAAGCATATCTCGCCGGCTGGACATCTTAAATGCATCACTGGAAGATTCTAGATCCAGCTTAAATGCTCAACCTTGATCTATTCCCTCTCTCTTAAATGCTCAAACTTGATTTCTTCCCTCTCTTTTCGATAGCACTGTCTTTCTGACAAGAAGCAGTCGTTATTGCTTGCGCGCATTTTTGGAGAAAGAAACAGGATTATACTCAAGTCTGGCAATCATTGTGCTGTTAGTCCACTATTACTACATTCTTCCCCCGAATACAATGCACGGTCATTATAGCTGAATTTGGCATATCTTTTGGTCTAAATTCAGCCATAATGACCGTACGTTGTATTCGGGGGAAGACTGTAGACTATCCATCGCTTGGCTGCACTTGAGGAAAGAAAATGAAGTCAATCATGTGCATATGCAGCCACAGTAATCATCTATTGTGTTGCAGATAAAAGCAATACCCTTTCTTTTTTTCAATGGTCGTAACGGTACCCCACCATGTAGAGATGTACATTGGAATGCCAGCAACCGACATTGGATCTGATATTCCGGGCAGCTCTCTGCAAGTGTGAATTAATGGGGTAGGCGTCGGTCAAAGAAATAAAGTTGAATAAACTCGTCACATTGCTCTCTCGACCCCCTCCCATCCCACCCCGCCCCCCAACCAAAAAAAAAAAACAAAAAAAAAAAAACGTGAATAAGAGGAATGTCCCACCTCTGAAATCCTTTTTTTTTTCGTTTTCTTTTGGGGCCCCACCCCCACCCATGAATAGTTCTGTTGACTATATGCTAGAATACACATACTCTCTCAGGGCATACTCACACGAGGACTTTTTTTCTTACTTATTCTTATTTCTGGACGTAATTGCGCCAAAAAAGTCCCGCATCATCACCTTCTCACATGCATGCAATTCCGAAACACAAGGAACTCCACCGAGGGCACGGCAGTCATGCGGATCTGTCCATGAATCGAGAGTTTCTAAGATCAAACCCTTTAGTTGCTCCGTGTGTGAAGTTGTGAACTAGTGATAATCATCCTGATTGTAATGAATAGGTCTTTCACAAGATGAACACAGAGTATATCGCTCTCACATGCAAAAGAGGTGTCTATTTTTTCGAGTTAGTTTCTTTTCGAAGGGTCGGGTGTCAGGGTTCCATTGACCGCAACGTGGGGAAGCGTGAGGAGTGTGTCATTTTACTATCGGCATACTTTTATGGGACACTGGACCCGATTTCCAGGAGCTGCTGCTCCCCACCCTACCAGTAGAAAGGAGCCTCTTTGGCTTGGGCAAACAAGGAACAGGGTTAGGACGCAGATTCTGGACAGAACCGGATCTGTGAGTGGGCTTGCCCAGCAGTCAGTCACAGCCAATGGCATACGGACAGAATGGGGCGCCTCTACACAGGTGTAAGTAGAAAGAGGACGCAAGGGCCTCGCTCCACTACTGTCCACATGCACAAAAGACAAAAATAATGGAGGTGTATCTTTCCATGTTCTAGTGGAGGATTCGGTCTCATTTTGCACAGTTGGAGAGTCGTGGGGCGAGCCCCCAAGTCTTAACTACTCTACCAGTATGTTTCCCAGCCATTTTGTAGATGCACGCCGTGCATGCTGGCACGTCGGGTGGGATGCACAGGGGTGCTGTTTCCCCCGAGATCCATCCACGAAATTGGCCCTCGCATGCAACCCGCATTGCCTGGATGGATTTCGGCCAAAACTACAACCCTCGTGCATCCTTCCCGGCGCGCCAGCATGCACAGAGCATTTGTGCAAAATGGCTGGGAAACGTGCTGCTGGTTTAAGCCGCCAGAGTTCACACGAGTTTAAGTTGACGAATCAACCTCCCAAGGCTTGTGAGCCTGCAACTGCATTAGGAATAATTCTCACATCACAAGGAAAGCCGAAGTCTAATGACATATGGATCTCTTCTCCGGCGCTGGAAAAAATGAGGGTGTGGAAAAAACAAACACACTTCAATCTTTGGGAGAGCACTGATAATTAATAATGTGGTTCTGGCATCAATCTGGTACAAGTCATTGCTGTGGCCTTTAAGTACGAAACCCACAAAAGATATACAAAGACAGCTTGCAGCATTCCTTTGGAGAGGGGATCATGAGTTACCACATGTAATTCCAAGAGTCGCCTGGAAGACTTTAATCCAGCCAAAGACCAAAGGAGGGATTGGACTTATTGACCCAAAAACACAGTGTCAGGCTTTGGCTCTTCAAGTTGTAAAACATTTAATCCTAACCACAGATATTCCATGGCGGGATCTAGCACTAGAGCAGATTCGTAGATTAGCCCCTCAAACTACAAAGGAAGTGCATCCCTTGACATGGATAGAGGATAGATACTGGTATATCCCTCGTACCCGAATACATCAAAATGACACAAGGGCTAGGGAAAGACTGGACGGATTTTGGGCTAACTTATTGAGGACCTAGCGAGAGATGCCCTTGCCGGATAAGGGAAAGACTGGACGGATTTTGGGCTAACTTATTGAGGACCTAGCGAGAGATGCCCTTGCCGGATAAAGCCAAACCGGAAAGACTTGAAGAAGTCTTACGACAAACCCTTTTTGGTAACAGATGGATTACTGACCATAATGGCAGAGTCTTTATAAGCTCAGAATCACCTTGGTCAAATTGGGTCAAGAATGGAGTAGTAAGAATAAAGGATTTGTGGGACCCAATAAATAAAACCTGGAAGACTGTGGAAGAACTTAGAAAAAGGATTAAATATGCACACAATCTAATGCATAATTTGGAAGAAATTACGTCATCCATTCCTTTGGCTTGGACAGTGTTGCTTAAAAAAGGCCCGGTGTTCCGAACATCAGACTGGGTGTGTTTAAATCGTCAGGATGGAGCCAAGGCAATAGGACAAATCATGGATATACACGAAGAAGGTGCCCTGGTAAATATTTTTAAGATTCAGAAGGACAACAAAATTTCAAAAGAAAAACTAGACATGGTCATCTTCTCAGGCTTTGAGGAAATGTTTAGGATAAGAGCTATATACTGTACGGAAAAAAAATGATGGCAAATTTTTCTACCTCAGTGTCCCATACCGGAGCTTCCCTTAGATCCAGCTGAATGGGTATGGCGGCTAAACAAGAGAAACAAACCCTTAAAACTTCAATCCTTGAGTGTAAAGGCCTCTTATRGGCTACTYCGACCTAAAATAGAGGTGTCCGAAATAATACAGGATCGATGGTATAGACACCTAAACATAAACAGGGATCTAATCAAACCAGTGAAGTGGTACAAAGATCTGAAGGAGAGGCCAGCTAAGTTTGCGTCTTTACAATGGCAAATAATACATGGGTGTCTACCCACTAACGATTGGTTAATAGACCATTCTTCTCTTGAGCAAAAGGGTAAGGCAGTACCATGGTGCATATCTTGTGTTCAAGCTTTTCCAAGTAGGAAAATCAGAGAAACAATTGAGCATATCTTCCTACAATGCCCAGGCTCTGTATTACTTTGGAGATTATGGGACTATGTATGGAAGGACTAACAGGCCTGGATCGGCCATGGGAGTGGAGGGCTATTCTTCTTGGTCACTGGAATCCTGTTATGATCGAACCATCGCAGTTTCAACAGAACTTATTCCATTTAAGCAGGAAAGCGGTGCTGTGGGCATTATGGCATAAAAAATGTATAAGAACCATTGAAGGAGTTATAGTTGGAAAACAGGAAACGGTGGATACAATTCAACAATTTATTCAATCTGAAATAAGATTTCAATGGGAAAAAACGAAAGTCAAAATGATTGAATATAAACAAAAAAAGGATATCACACAAAGAATCACAAAATTCAGTCTGGAATGGTTAGGGGATGCATTAGGGGAGAAACTGGGGAAGGTGGAGTGGCCAGGAGGAGAAGAGGATCGCGTGACCTTTAAGCGAGATTACCAGATCTCTTTCTACAACTGGTTTGATATCCAGCCAGGAGCTTCCTTGAGATCACTTGAGTGTTTTTCTGACCCTTTTCCTCCCTCTGCTCTGGCTTTAGTGGATCTGGGATGGTTTTGGGGGGAAGAGGGAGGATAGGTGATTTAATTAGAAGGGTGGGAGTTTATGGAGATAGATGCTAGGTTAATCTTTTTTCTTCTGGCAGTCATTTGGTATGGCTGAAGAGGCATCTAGAGTTCCATGAATAAGTACAACACCATTCTAGGATATGAGGATTTTTGGATTGGTATTTTGTTCGAAGGGACGCTGGACCCGTTTTCTAGCAGGTGTTGCTCCCCACCAATAGATCGGAGCCTTAAAAAAAAAAACTGCACCTTTTCAAAGTGACCTGCTGCTTTTGCCACCGGCCCAGGCCTGAAGCAGAACAGAATACCGCGTATACCGGGGCAAGGTCCCACTTGCACGGATTAAGAGATTCTGGCCGTTGATCTTTTGCTATCTACGGTCAGAATCTCGTAATCCGTGCAAGTGGGACCTAGCCCCGGGAAGGGCACAACTTTGGTTTACACCACGACCAGCGGAATACCTTTCCCTGCTTGAAAAAAAAAAACAACGCGGCGGGTTACCCGGAAGCTCAGCGGGGAATCGAAATGTCTGGCGGCCCCGGTCAGATACATCCGTGTCGGTTCGTTTTTCTTCAGCGCGCAGAGCAAATTTAGGCCCGCGGCCGATTTATGGGAAAGGTACTGGTGGTTTAAGTACCAGACTTTGTCAGTCAGACAGCCCGTCACAGACTGAGAAGAACATGGAGTTTACGTGTTTTCACTTGGGCCCAGGATAGCATTACCACAAAAGGGGTCTGAACATCTAGCTTGACCTTCCAACACTCAATCCTTATAGCTGGAAGTGATTAATGCTGTAGGGTGGTCCTTCTGGCCGAAAGAACGAGGACGCGGCTTTGGAGAAAACTTGCAGTCGAAAGGGACAGAGAAAGGTCTTCATAATTGAAGCAGACAAGGAAGAGTCACAGTTTCATTAGCTGGCTATAGAGGAGCAACTTTAGGGCGCGATGGTAAATCCATCCCATTTGAACCATGCCAGATGGAACGGATGACTCCAAGTGAAATGAAATGTAAATGGACGGGCGCAGCGTTGACTGTTACCACCGCGAACCGGCGGCCTATTTTATTTCATTTGGTGATCACGGGGGGCACGCAACCCGTGCCGCTGGCCCGGCGGACAGAGCGGCTACTTTTTGTCGTGTCCGATAACACGTGGTCACAAAATCAGTAGCTGGATAACCAAAAGAAGGGGTAGAGCAGTGATGAATCCTTCTCAATTGGAGGGCAATCAATGCCGGTGTCTCAAGGTCCCACATAGCGCGGGGAAGTGTGGAGTCGGTAGTAACAATTGTAAGGGATACTGGACCTGGTTTCTAGCAATTGTAAAGAAAAAAAGAAAAAAAGAAAAAAAGAAAAAAAGAAAAGAAAAGAAAAAAAGAAGCAGCAGCACAGATGCAAGCGGAGACAAGGAGTAAGTATACACAGGGTCATGGGGGTAAAATGAGGTGGTAGTAGTTTCCAAACCATCTGAGCGCACCTCGGAGCTACCAGTGTTGGCTGAAGGCCGAATGCTTTCCGATAGATCGCACATGGACTTGTTCACAATCCCCTTCATCCGTTTCTCAAATATCTTTTCACGAGAACAAAGCACAAAACGATAAAACATTGCAATTCAACAATTCCGGGACAATGCAAATCATGATAAGACTGTAACAAGAGGGGGGGAAAGGAAGAAGAAGAAGAAGAAGAAATGGCCGAGGAGAAGGCGGCAGCAGCAGGGGGAGGATAATGAAGAAGACAAAGACGAAAACGAAGACAACAAAGAATAATAATAAGGAGAAGAGGAGGAGGAGCAGGAGGAGGAAGAAGAAGAAGCAGAAGAAGGGCATCATGATCATTTAGAAGAACAGAAGCATCATGGCAAGATAAACCCAGCCGTTCACTGTGGAGCGAGGAGATATCACATACATCAGAGGAAAGAGGGAAAACTTGAATTGGAATAGCAAGTTAGCAACAATATACCAGGGAACATGGGAGGCAGTTTCTCAATGATTTGATTCGAAGCAGGGGGTCGGCTATTAGTTTTCCAAAAAGTTGCTGGAGTGCTAGGGGACAAAAACGGATCTTAACGGAATTGATTGCTTCCCTTTGGAAGGATCATCTGTCAGATCATACCTTGATGTTTTGCACATTTGTATCCCCCTCTATGCTGCTTCTAGGTTGTCCCTATGCAGGTTGTCCCTATGCTGCTTCTAGATTCAGGAGACCACTGAGCATCACAGCATAGGCAGGCAAAGCGCCGGCCTGCATCGCATCCAGTTCGGTTTCTATTGTTTGTCCATTTTGTGTTTTCAAGCTGTGCTGGAAGTCTGAACAGTTTCCGACCTGCATTGCAATCTCACGTGTAGCTATAGTATTGATTTCCTGACCTTGCACTGTGCTCATCCTGTTTCATCAATTGCTTGTCCATTTCGTGTTGTCTAGGCTGGTGCAATGTGCTGAAATTCTTGAGCCGTTCCTATTACTGCGCTGAAGCATGATGCTGGAGTGTCTGCGAGGATACTCTTCCTGAAAAGACGACGCCGTGACGGGCCTTTAGATATATCATCATTGAACTAACCGGCCCCAGGCAATTCAGAATTTCGGAATGATTTTATTCTCTTCATCGGAAGGACTCTGGATTCGAACTTGAGTCTAAATAAATAGTTCAACAGATCAGGGTTGTACCAACCGAGCTAGGCCCGTTGGTGCTGGTGCTGGTGCGATACTCCGATTTGCTTCATTTACAAATCCTGCCCTCCACAGACATAAAGCCCCTCGCATAATGTGCTATTCGTTTGCGTGAATGGTGAGCCGTTACTCTCAATCCGCGGAAGTGCACTTGTCAGATAATAACCTCGTCACAAATGTAGAATTTGCTCAAATGCCGCTTTGCCTAAATGGTTAAAGAGGTCGGCAGCCGGAATCTGCGGGTGCTGACCCAGGTTGCCCCATATCGACTGTTGCTCTACGCGGTCCTCCATTTCTGCCCTTTAAACGACTGTAAAGTGGGTTGGTTCAGCGTTCCCTGACTAGCTCTTCTTCTTTTTTATGGTCCCGCCCTCTTGCTAGCTCCTCGTCGTGTTTACTAGATGATCATCATGTAGGGTCCCATTTTCTCCATTAAAGAAGGAGAAAATGGGACCCCACATTAGAAAGATAAAAAATAGGGACCCATGTAGGGTCCCATTTCAACCTCAGGCTGTTGTGTACCACTGTTTCCAAGCTCCCATCCAGGAATGGTCCTTTTCTTTGAAGAACAGGCCTGCCCTTACAGAACGCAGAAGTCCTGTGTTTTTGGTTTTCTGCCATCTGCACCTGATCTCCGTCTCCACCATTCCTTCGAGGGAAACCCAGGCCAGTCCCTTGTCTATTTCCTTCCCATCAACGGTCATAGAACACCTCCGATTCCAGATGGTATAAAGTGTGGCCCTTTTCAGCGTCAGAAACCAGGTCTTCGAGGGCCCCTTGAGACATGAAGGTGTCTATTTCCTTCCCATCGACGGTCATAGAACACCTCCGATTCAAGATGGTCCAAAGTGTGGCCCTTCTCGGCAGACAAAGAAAAAAAAACAGGTCTCCGAGGGCCCCTTGAGATACGAAGGTGTCTATTTCCTCCCCATCAACGGTCATAGAACACCTCCGATTACAGATGGTCCAAAGTGTGGCCCTTCTCAGCATCAGAAACCAGGTCTTTGAGGGCACTTGAAACATGAAGGGACTTGAATGGCAGGATGATGGGGAGTAGGGAAGAAGAGGGAGAGGGGGGGGGGGGGGACCGCGGACGGGGAAGATGGTGAATATGGCAGCTGGACACCATTTCAGGCTGTGGATAGCTGTTGCGGCCTGATCTTTTCCTTCTACATTATGCGGACATATTTTGCAGAGCAGAGATCTGTTTGGGTCTGATATTTTCCTTCGTCCATTGAGCCACTGGTTAACCGGTTAACTGGTGATTACCAGGGTATCCATTCAGCCATCGAAGGGTGCATACTCTCACTGGTTAGACTCTGAATCAGATGGTCCTTAGGGACATCCCTTCAAATTGGAACGATACAGCGAAGATTAGCATGGACCCCTGTGCACGAATGACACAAATAAATCGAGAAATGGTTCAAAAGTCAAATTTTATTTTTACGAAGAGAAAAAAAAAAAAAATTCTGAATCTGACGAACTGGTTTAGGGGGATTTCGACAGGATCGCTGGGGGGGCCATCTCTCGTACCCCTGACCATCTCTCGTATTCCTGACTAGGATCGTGTCCTTGAGTTTTGATCCCTAGGATGAATGTATCCGAATTTTCAATTTAGAGATGCAAGCATGAGGACTTTGATTCTTCTTGTCGCCTGTGCCATTCTTTCCGGTCGTTTTCATTGACAAGTTCTTTTATGGGCTTCTGGGGCTCGTAGATGTTCTGTGTTTTGGACTGGATAACCCTTACCTTTCTCATTAAGAAGACCTCCTCCCTAATCACAACAGATTCGAAGTCTACTTTTAGAGTGTTTCCGAGAACTGGAACCACTCCCCATACGGCGTACGGGTTGTATTCGAGTCTTCGAAAAATTTCAAAATTCGAATAGAAAGCATATGCGTTCTATTCGAAAAACAGGGCCGCTCGAATAGAACACACAGGTATTATATTCGAACAGAAAGCATGTGTTGTATTCGTTTACAACTCATATGCGTTATGTTCGGGGGAAGATGGTAGACTCGCAATAAAGCGGAAGGCCCCACATGCACACGCAATTTCCTGCTCCTCCTTTTCTTTTTTTTTTTCCCCTTTGTTAAAAGGGTGATATGACACTGATATCATCATTGAAGTTGCTTGAACCGACCGGTCCCAGGTAATTTATAGTGATTTTGTTCTGTTCATCTGATAGGATTCGAATTTCAAACTCGAGTCTTTACTTCCACAGTTCATGGGTGTACCAACTGAGCTAGGCCCAGCGGTGCAGTTAGCAATACCTAAAAAAAAGCTTAAAAAAAACACCAACTTCAGCGCAGGGCTGAAAGCATACCAACTCCAAAGCGGTGACAAAGGTATGCAACATTCCAAATCTAACAATCGCTAAAGCGACTAAACAACACAACATCAGCGCAGGGTGGAAAGCGCATCTCAACAGTGACAAAAAGGTTTTACACGGGAAGAAAGGAAGGATGAAGAATCTAGAGATGATTCAGAAAGAGGAACGATGACAGTGACGGAAAGCCTTTTTACCATAAAGAAAAGGGAAAGGACGAAATATAGTCCAGAAGAAAGTGGAATGAACTTTAAAAAAAAAAAAAAAAAGAGACAAAAAAGACCAGCGAAAAAAGACTGAAAGGTAACTAACCAGTTGCAACCGGTTCCAAATCTGCTGGACTTTCTGCTTCATTTGCTCAGGGGCGACGTTCTGCACATTCACCGCATTGAATATCATTCTCTCCGTCTCCCGGTACTGCGGCACATCAAGGTACAACACAGAGTGATGAATTAGTGTGACATCTCTACTCCCATTACAGAGCGCATCCTGAACATCTCTTCTGCCGCTGTCCTGTTTGTTCCAACTTTGTCAGTTCATACTCCACAACATTTTTTCCATCTGAAGAGCAGTTGAGACCCTTGGGACATCCCCTCGCCTGGTGCACAGAGCCATCCTTCCCATCGATAAAGAAATATTCCACGAAACCTGTGCTTGACCTGAATGAATTGTTACTCTCTCTCTCTCTCTCTCTCTCTCTCTCTCTCTCTCTCTCTCTCTCTCTCTTGATGCACAGGTACACACAGACACACCCCCGCACACCTCTTGATGAGTTGCCTAAAGTTGGACAAAACAGTCTGGCACAGTTATGCTTTCTTTGTGGAGTG